AATAAAGTTCGCAAATAAAAGACAAAACAATTGAAATGTAGCTAGAGAACTTGAGTTCGCAAGAAAACGATAAAAAAAAACGTTGGGCAGTGAAACGAGCCTGCAAGTAAAATTACAGTCACGCGTGAAAGATTCGAGAGGAACGGGATTCGGGAGTGGCGTGCAGGCGCGGCGCGGCGTAGGTTGCTACGGGGGGTAAGTAAGGAAAATGTAAGCCTGGATCAACCGCGCTCATCCCCTTTGGCGTCGGCGTTTGACGCGACCGCTGAAATTTTTACTTCGTTCGATTTGGTCTTTCGGTGAGATTCTCCCCGTCCTCTGATTGGTGGACCCTGGCCACGCCCTGCCACGTAAGGGTGACTCGCTCGCCCGAGCACTATCAACCCTTATGTAGATATGCCCGATGCGAGCACACTTATGTGTGCCGGCACGCGTACACATGTGTATACGCGTTTATTTGCGGATGTATGCGTCTATGTGTGTATAAGTACGTGTGCGTATACGTGTGAGGCCGCAGACTTCACGGGTACATACGTGAATACATACGGCCGATACATAAGCATAGGGATGTATATACCGGGTGGGGTTCCCGTTCGAGAGACGGCAGTGGGCTTTCGATACGACACGGTCGATCGAACGGCTCGTATTTTCGGTATCGAGGCGTTATCTCTCGGGAAGATAAGCGTGCACCACAGGATGCCTGAAAAATATTTCGACACCGTTTACCGGTGACTGCATGCACTTATGCACGTATGCACAGGTACATACGAGGAGTGTGTCTGAGATAGCATTGCAGAGATTGTCGATAGGACAGAGAAAAAATTTCATGCGAAACAGTTATGCCTTATACCTACTTTGGAATTCAGATATCGGATTAATATTTTTAAAAATTTTATACGAAAGTTTAGCCCAACAAATTATCTACTTTATAATAATTACATTTACATCATGATGCAATAATCATGAGAGAAAAAGAGAGAGAGTACGCTTCTCTGTGTACATCACGTTAAGAGAGAGAGAGAGAGAGAGAGAGAGAGAGAAAAAAACAATTTGACAAACTATATTAATATGATATAAGAAATTAATTTCTAATTTGAATAAATCCAAATCTCGATAACATATATTCTTCTAAAAATTAATTATCTCCATTCAAATTTAAAAAATGATGTACAATAATTCTGCAATATCCATATATTATTGTTACAAATAATGCGAAAGATCCGTATAAGTCATACGTTCGTTAGCTTGTAAGTGAAGTAACGCATTCAAAGTACCCAGACAAATTCTATTATTTTTACTTTCGACCACTGAAGTGGGACAGCTCGTATATGTAACACACCACGAGAAACAATAATTAGCGACGTTAACGTATAAGCAATGATAATATATTGCCCGGATGCACGTCGCGTTGTGTTCATATATATTTCGAGAATGAATTCCATGTATAAAAATGGGGAAATCTCAATGCGAAATTATATATATATATATATATATATTTATATATATATATATATATATATATATATCTAGATCGGGTGATTTAATTTTCGGGTACACCCACCTAACGTTCACCACGCCAAGTTTAGCTTCCCTGTATTTAATTACATAGCGTATGCTATCTCATTCAGCGTTGCTATTCCGTAGTAATCGTACGATATATTTAATATTTATGCGATTCCATGTATTGATTTGTTACAGATCTATCTACATTGTGACATTTGCCAAAATTAGATACATCGAAACTTCACACATTTCCCTCACTTTAATTATTTACATTGATAATTCTTTTAAAATTGATTTAAATAATAGTATCAGTAAACTATATCATATATTAAATTTTATTACTTTAAAAGATTCCAATTATTAAAATTTTATGGCTTTAGTTTTAACACAGACTAATATGTATGTATTATATATTTATTATATGTTCTCACCCCCATATGTAGCTGTCATAATTATCTATTATAATTTAATTAATCTAGCTATTATAATTCAATTACACATGTAGATTAATACTTATTGTTAGATGTAATTACATAAATGTAATTATATATGTGTAATTTACATATATAATTAAATTATTATTATATGGATAATTAATAAATGATAAATTACAAATGAAGCACAGGCTTGTCTCTTTTTGTATACTTAAGTATGTTTTATAAAATATGTATATACATATAATATATATCTTATAAAAATATGAAAATAACAAGCATTATGTAAATAATAATGTCATAAATATGCAATATTAAATAAACGATTATGCAGATATAAAAGTTAAAATATTATTTAAATAATTCTTTCTTTATCTTGTATGAATTTGTGTACAATAACTTTTAATATGTGATAAGATAGCCGTTATAATAGAATAACCATTAAATCAAATATATATATATATATGAAAACGACGTGCCAGATTATTGCGACTTACAAAGATTATTAATTATTATAGAATATTTTCTATATATGTGTTAAAGGAAAGAAATTTATCTTTTTAATTAAGGAATATTAATAAAAAATAAACTTCATCTTTGGCTATCCTGTTCTTATACATATATATTATAGCCTTTTTCTTATTCTTTCTCTATTTCTTTATTCTTCTCATCAGATTATATGCTTTTATTCTTTCTCAAGTATTTATACTATTGCTCGTAAAAATGTTTGTATGCGGATGTATATAGGGGTGTATAAATATATGTAAATATCCGCAGTATATTGAGCTCGGATCCGTGGGTTCGCTACAATAAGCCCAAATGACTGTGCGGATCAGTCATCCCTGCGGAACCGCAGATTCCTAGCAATCACGTAAAGTGCCATCTAGACCTACGATCATCATTCGGAACCTTGTAATGAACAACTTGCTATACCGATAATGACATTATTTTGACTGCGACGTGTCCCTTGGAAATAAATGCAAACTCGATGAATAACTCGGTGAATTCATATTATTCATAAATCTTATACGAATATGATTATGAATCACGAATTACGAATCGCGTAATCTGGCGCAAACTTTAGGATTAAGAAATTTTGATATTGGACACTTTCTTTATACTCTAAGATTTTATTCTTGAAGTGACTTTCAAAGTTTGCGAGTTGTGAAATCTATCTTATCTTCCCGCAGATGCCTCTTAAATAGCAATATCGAATTACTTATTATTAATAAATCATATCTAGAGAAACTAATTTATTCTTTTTAAGGCAACGGATGTATAGAATGCTTTATTCTTATACATATATGTAGACCTTCGTATTGTTATCAAATTGTATACAATTATCTGGATATATGGTAAGTATATTTAATAATTTGCCACACATCCGTTACCTCAATAAATATGTTATAATTCATCACTCACCGACCCTGATTCGCAACAGCGGAATTATATCTGCCACGTAGCTACGTTGAATCTGTAACATACAAACATAAAATTCATATTAAAATAGTGTTAAAAAAACCCAATGTTTTAAAACATAATTCCTATGACATCAAACCTTTTATTTATCATTCAATTAGATATTTATTTAAATAATTATTTTTCTAAAAAGATCTTTACAATAATGAGCTTTTATAAAATTTCAAATTACCACTTTCTTTCTAATTATTATTTCTAAATTATTGTGAAATAAAGCGATTCAAGAATAAACAGGAAAAAAGTTGCTCCTACACAAATAAATAATATTTACCGCAAAGTTGTTCCGCTGGTGCCTGATGCCTCTCTCAGGCCTCCTCCTCCTCTCAGGCTGTCCTCTCGGATTGTCAGCACTCTCGATGCGACACTTTCCGCGTCGTTATCTTCTGTAACATATAAATAAATGATTTGATATTAAATCATTCTTATACGCATCAAACTTCTTATTCATAATTTAATTACACTTTTATTTAAATAATTATACATTTTCAGAAAGATATCTTTACAAAAATAAATTCTTATAAAATTTCAAATTACTTATTTTTTTTTAATTATTATTTCAAAATCATGATAAAATAAAACGACTCAAGTATCTGTAATTAAGTATTCTGTAATATACAAACATAAAAATCAAATTAAAAACGGCGCTCAAAATAATCAATAATTCAAAAGATAATGACATGTATAGAATATCTTAATAACTTTTTATAATATTTATTAAATTATAAATTTTCCAAAAAGGATCTGCATAAGAATAAATTTTTATAAAACTTTAGATTAATTCTTTTTCTCTAATTATTATTTTTAAATAAAACAAAACGACTAATTTTACGCAAGTAAGCAGTAATGCTTACCGCAAAGTTGCTCTACCAACGTCCGATACCTCTCCTAGGCCTCCTCATTCTTCTCTCAGGTTCTTCCATCTGAACCCTTTTCTTTTATATCACACAACAGTTATATGTATACAAGATTGATCTGTAACATACGAAAATATTCAAATAAAAATAATGTCTAAGATAAATATCCTGACATCCTAATCCTAATATAATTTGAACTACTATACATTTTAATTATTGAGAAATTATTTAGAAATATTTTAAAACATTTTATATAATAACATTTTATATATTAAGTAATATTTTATACCTATAAATTTTATATTAATCAAGTCATAAATAATTTATTATATATTTAAAAAATATTCAAATATAAGCTAAAATATTTTAAACAACAAATAAGTAGAATAAGTAAGTCCGTTTGTTTTTTTTCGAAAAACTTTCTGAAATGGTGCAATAAGTTAGAGTGAGACAAGTGTATTTTGTTTCACTCTAATCTACTGCACTAGTGCACCAGTTCAGGAAGTTCTTCGAAAAATAACAAACGAAGTGGAATACGACCGTATGAGATATACAATCAAATTACGGAAAGGCTGTTAAAATATTTCATTAATTACACAATGTATTAAACATTTAATACACTATTACATACAGTGATCTGAAAACGATATACTCCGCAAATGAATAATTATTTCCTTTATTAACAATTAATAAATAGATTATGAAATGCTCACCTTATCTGTTAAACCTGGCCGCCTCCTCGGCTCCTCCTCTTCTCCTCTCTCTTCTTTCTCCATTGCTATTTCTTCTTAACATTCACATCTGTTTCCTAAAACAAACAAAATATTGATTACAATTAATCGATTACAAGCAATCACTAGAATACAATTAATCGCGCGGCTCTGCCTCCTCATTCTTTCCTATACTTTCTACGATACTCTCGAAATTAATCACACGTGTACTTAATCATATTGCGACAGCGGAGAAATAAGAGAAAAAATTATAGCACGCTCGATATCAGCGATATTTCACAAATAAAAATCAACACAACTAAATGTATCAGCAAAACGCGGCGTCGCTAAAATAATTGATTCGCGCGATAGATCTTCGGCCGAACAAGACTTTCGAAATACGCGTTCGAACGGGTTATCAATATCCGAGCGCCGAATCTATATCTTTCGTGATGGGTACTGCAATAGATATTAAAGCAAAGTTAATTTACATGTTATACTCACCAATTAAATAAGTCGCGATCCGAGAGCCGATCCGTCTCGTGTCTGTCCACTCTGTCCGCCGCGTTCTGTAAATGAAAGGGGGGGGGAATGTATAAATCAACATGGCGGAGAAATACTATATGCTTGCCTTTTCTTACAATTATTTTATTTGCCTCCTAATGAATAGGCGTATCAATATTGGCAGATATCCGCGATTTCGCGACTGACCGCACGACGCGCCTTCGGCCGAACAAGTACTGCGAATATGTATTTTCAAGAATCTATCAATACCGGAGCGCGCCAAATGTGTACTACGCGCTAGATAGTATAGTTGTAAAGTAAATAACGAACGCAAGGTTAATATATCTTATTTTTACCAGTTAAACACGAGTCGCGACGCCACTCGTCCCGGAGCCGATCCGTCATCCTGTGTCTGGACTGTCCGCCGTCCGGAAACGAAAGAGAGACCGTGACGTAATCAACATGGCGGAGGCGCTTCGTTTCCCGCGCGCCTCGCGGTCAACTTCACGCGACAAGATTGACGCGGCGTCACTACTACGCGTCTTGACGCGATTATACATTTTCCGTACTCCAAGTAGCAAATACTGTATGCTCGCCTTTTATTACGATCGCCAAGCATTAAAACAAGTATTCTTCTCTTTACAAATTACTTTAATTGTGCAACGCAAATGTTACTTATAATTACTTATTAATTGCCTTGCTTTCTATTTGATGATGCGAAATTTACGCTCGAACGGAAAATGCGTACTTACAATCTCGCGAGATTACGGATCCGTCCGACACTCGTCGACGTTCCGCGACAGATGTAATAGATGTATTGAGAAAACGCGATGAGAACTCGCGTGAATTGCGCGGTCAACTTCGCGCGCTCAGAGGGGCCGTACTCTGTTCCGCTAAAATCCGCTTTACCGACAATTGTCGGTGTCGTTGCGCAGCTTTTACACGATATGAAAAACCTGCGCAACGACACTTATCAAACCGACAGTTGTCGGTAGGCAGGAACGGAATACGGGCCCAAGTTACTGCTTACTGCCGCAACGATGCTACACCTGTTTGCTCCCAACTGCACTTTCGCGGACTTTTCACATTTTGGGTGCGTTCGCACGGTTCGCACCCAATAGCGGAGCGCGCTATTAGCAGTCACCGTCGTCACCGACCGAGCAGACCGAGATGCTTCCTCGCCTCAGGTAGTTCCGCACGAACGGCGCTCGCGTCAGTACTGTGTGGTACTGTGAAAGCTTTAAAATAAAAATTGTGCTTGTTGACAGGGTTGAACCGAATTTTAGACTGAAATGATCGAGGAGCACGACGAACGCGAGACAATATGCGACTCGGTGGTAAGTGTGCGCGATACGCCGTGGGCGGGAACACTGGCGGGTCGCCCGGGGACGCACGCGACTCGCAAATGCACGTACACGATGATGATCTAACCTAATTTTCAGAATTCACTGGTAGAAGGCTGTCGTTTGCCGGTCAAGATGCACAGCACGGACGATTGGCGTAAGTAAATTGTACGCGCGTGTTGTTCTGTTCATCCCAAAGAATATGTCGTTATAAAAGGCGTGGCTTTTTCTCTGAAATCCACCATAGTGAGCATGGTTGCGAGATCATCATGTGGCGAGATTGAGCTACATTGTTTTGGAGCATACATTGTATTTTACGCTACTCTATGATGAAGATATTCTGATTGCAATTATATACATTGATCTTTATTGAATTATAGTGATAAACAACATATTTGCTAAGGCCGATTTTATTGCATATGTATATATCACATTTCTGACTGAGATACTTGCTCCATATATAAGATTTAAGAATACATTACATTTGGATGTAACGTAATTTTGTTTACAATTTCGTTACAATTAATATATTTTATATATATGCAAATGTATTATTCTTAAATATATAATAAATAATATTGTAGATTAAAAGTCACAGCAACACAATTTAAACAAAAATCTTCTTGTCTTATCTGTAGCACTAGCTGAAATCATCAGCGTTAAGGAAGTACAAGGCGTCAAGTGCTATTACGTTCACTATGTGGACTGTAAGTAAATCGCTTTAGCGTTTAAGTATGAGAATCATAAGTGTCGACAAGTGTTATCAAAACTGCGCTATTTCAGTCAACAAACGATTAGATGAATGGGTTATGGAAGATTCCCTGGACACTAGAAAGGTCCAGTATCCTCGTCGCGAAGGAACAACGCCCGGAACTGGTGCGGCGACCCCAAAAAAGCAGGCCGTTAGTAGACCTCCTAGTCCCAGTAACGTTAGCAATGAGCCAGTCAACGGTAACGCCGTGCTACAAGCGGCGCTGCAAAAGAAAATGTCTAGGAAAAGGAAAGCGACGTTTCTAGAAAATGAGGACTCTCAAGATGCCCCACCGCCGCCGCCGCAAACGCCGGGTCCCAGGCCCACTGGCTCCTTGGTGGCGCATCACCACGATGATGTAGTCACGAGAATGAAAAACGTAGAACTAATTGAATTAGGCCGTCATAGAATAAAGCCTTGGTATTTTAGCCCATATCCGCAAGAGATGGTGAACTTAACTTGTATATATATCTGTGAGTTCTGCCTAAAGTACAGGAAAAGTCGAAAGTGCTTAGAAAGGCATTTAGTCAAGTGCAATTTACGTCATCCACCCGGAAACGAAATATATAGGAAGGGATCTATATCGTTTTTCGAGATTGACGGCCGCAAGAATAAGAATTACGCGCAAAATCTTTGCCTACTGGCAAAGCTATTCTTAGATCACAAAACTCTTTACTATGACACAGATCCATTTTTGTTCTATGTAATGACAGACTTTGATAGCAGAGGGTTTCACATAGTAGGCTATTTCTCGAAGGAAAAGGAATCGACGGAAGATCACAATGTAGCATGCATTCTTACACTGCCACCGTACCAGAGAAGAGGTTACGGCAAGCTTCTAATAGAATTTTCATACGAGCTGTCAAAATTTGAAGGAAAGACTGGTTCTCCCGAAAAGCCGCTGTCCGATTTGGGTTTACTTTCGTACCGAAGTTACTGGGCTCACACGATACTCGATATTCTGCTGAACGTAAAGCCCGTGGTAGAAAACGAGAAGCCGCAGATAACGATAAGCGAAATCTCCGAATTGACGTCGATCAAGAAAGAGGACGTAATATCGACTCTGCAAAATCTGAATCTCATTAACTACTACAAGGGACAATATATTGTAACACTAAATAGGTAATTTACGGTCAAAATGAAAGAAGATTATGATTTATCTGAATTCGGTGAGATCTTCATAATGATGCATATCTTTATTCGCAGGGAAATTATCGAACAACACTCAACTGCAATGGAAAAGAGACAGATCAGAATAGATCCTAAGTGTTTGCATTGGACACCGAAAGACTGGAGTGTTAGAGCCAAATGGTGAACTTATAGTTCGAGTTGACAATAAAACGATGCTGATTTGTCTTGAAATTATTTTTCAGGCATTCTGAAAGCGAGTATGGTTAAAACGGGTGTACAAAGTTGTACATATATATATTAATTTGCGACCTTGATGGTCTAGCGTTTTAATAAGACTGTATCTGGCGTATTTACGCTCATTGCAATGCTTTAGAACTTGTCGACAAACGCAGATCTCGATTATAGAGGACTAAGATCGTACTGCGCGAGCGCTCGCGAATTTTACCTGACAAAATATTTGCTGTAAACTTATACCTTAAAAATGCAATGTTTTAATATGATGATTAGAATTTTTTTAAAGATTCACAAACCGCTGTACAGTGGTACGAATTTGTACAAATAATCTACCGCTCCTGTAGAATTGTAAATAAATGTGATTTTATAACATACAATTTCCCCACAGCTCAATTGTATACAAAAATTTTATACAGAACTTTATATATGTAGATTTGATCAGAACACAGATTGCTATTTGTAATCCGATTTTTAGCACGCACAGAGACAAATGAAGACGTGCATCATACGTATTGCGTGTATGTAAATATGTACATATCTTTTTCATTCACACTATATATTATTTTGACGTAGTAGAAATGCTTTAGACCATTGCGAGTATTATAAATTATATAAGTACATAACGCATTAACGTATTTATGAATATTCATGCAAGATGTAGAGATCGCGTAAAGCAACTTTATTTTAAAAACTTTCTTTGGACAGGGACAGGCTAAATAGCCTGTCCAATATAGAAATTATATAATATCACAAGTGAAATTAGTATTAAAAGTATAATCCAAAATCGTGAAAAAAAATTTAATGTAAATAATTTTCTAAATTTCTAATTAATGTTATTGAACGCCGTCCGGTATTTACTTTTCAGTAACTTAATTAGAAGCTAAAAATTGAATTTTTATGTTTTACAAGTAGTGTAGTATTATAAGCTTGTAGATGATGAATGCTCCCCATGTAGATTGATATTGATTTTCGTTCTGTAACAGAGAAACCACAATAGAGTTACCAATATAAAATAAATTTCAACTCAATTTGCCAATCCGCTTTTTTAATGTTGTTATTACATATTGAATGCAATATTTCTTAATTTTAGAATATTATTTTATATGAAAGTTTTTAATAGGAAAACTTTTGGTACAAAATTCTGAATTTGTTTTATAAATTTATAAAATTAAAAAATATGCATTTATACATTTTATATTGGTACAAACTTTTAAAACAAGATTTGATTCCTTAATCATGCTTTAAAAAATAAAAAAAAAATTATCAAATCTCACGTAGCTTAATTATTCTCGATTTCCTCATGATCAGAAAACGTCCGTGGTATATTGAAATTCTACTTAAAAAAAATTAATTTTTATGATTTACGCAAAATCCAATAATGTATACCAAATGAAACGGAGGGAGGAAAAGTTCTACTAGTTCTACAAGCACTTACATTCCATTGTGCACTTTGACGAGGTTTACACGAACATACATATAGAAAACATCTAGCACAATACATTTTTATTGCCTGTATTACATAATAGATCAGTCACGTTGTCATCTTTAAAAAATAGTTTGCTTGTACGAATATAAATTACAATTTCACTTTCACAGATTCACGACAGACTTTGTTTCGGTGAGCGAGGAGATAAAAGAAAACAATCTTTAGACACGACTTTAAATACAGCATCTTTTATGTGTATATATATATATATATATATATGTGTATGTATATATATTTTTTTTATATTCAACAGTAACATCACAGTAGCTTCATATACAATAAATCTTTGTTCATAATTTTATCTGTATTCTTTTTGTATTCGTTACCACGTAAGCGCGACACGGCGAGTTCCTAAGATTCATCACGACGACAAGCGGAAGGAAGAAACTCGTGTGCACGCACTTTTCACAATTGTCAGGTCACAATGATCTCACACCGATATGATCGCATGAAACTCGAAACGCTCTTTGATATTTTACGAAAATTGATATCCGGTAACCCTGTCCGTTACACGCACTATTTAGTAACTTGAATCCACGTATACAACAATGTGAATGCGATATATCAGGATGAAAAATTATCAATCAATTAATATAATACAATATCATGGCGAAGCAAGTTGAAATCTGTAAACGATCAATCATATTATTAATATAGTGGAATTAAAAATCCGAATGAACGAAATAACATTTGGGCTAATTACAAACTGATATCGATCACTCAATATTTTCATACTGACAATGAGAGAAATGTATAGTTGCAGGAATCGAGAACCACGACTTTTACTTTTGTATCGGCCACACTGTGGAAATAATTTGAATATCGGTGGGTTATTCATAACAAAATAGATCGTTTTCAGTTTAAGCATATTTAGGAATGATATTTTGTATTCTATCATTCAAATTAAATTAAATGCTTTGCAAAAATCCGAACACACATTCTATAGAATTTTTTTTAATAAAATTACACAGGAGTATAATTAAAAATTTATCATGTTTCACGGGAAGGGTACAGTGCCGCGAAGTAAAAAAAAAAAAGAAATAGTCGTGGTATCTCGTCGCTGCCGTCTGTGCGTGCAATTGAATGAACGGACAATACGTTTCCCCCTTAACAATAACGACAACAACAACAACAACGAGACGATGAAAATCCAATGGCAGCGGTATAATGTCGATAAGAACAGCGAGTATTTAACAAGATAAGAATGACAACACGTACACGGCATCACGACAACGGCATTTATATAGACTATCGCACAAATAACCAGACGCATACCGGAGAATTCGCGAGAAACGCTTAAGATTATGCACAACCCTCGTACATCGCACAAAACGCAGAGATAATCCTTAGCCAGGCACACATTGAGTTCTGCGTGATACAGTGGCACGTCCGAGCACATGCATCGTCATTCTTAATTCCGCGGAACGTCAGAATTTATATAATCGATCAACGTATTTAACAGCCTATTGTAACTTATATGCAAACAACGACTTACAACTGCTTGATAAAATTTATAACAGTATTTTGATTTATTAGAATGGATTAATCGTTAAAAACTTGTCCACTATAAAATGTACAACAGAATGTTACCAGCAAATTTTATATACACAACACAAGCAGCCAAGAAAGATTAAGAGACTGATAAACCTTCAGTTTTAATCCTTCATGGCATTCCATTTGATAGCAAATTATTTTGGCAAAATTGATAAAAATGATCTTACACCCTTTAGGGCAAAAAGATGATTTTAACGACGCGATTTTTTTTTCCCTTTCGAAAATCCGCCTCAATGTGCGTCTGATATTACACTTACTTACGCTACTTACTCGCCGGAGTCCGCTCACGTGGCTCACAATATTTCGTCACGCAGTTTTGACTCGTCGCATTATACTCTTTCTCACCCCTCTCTTTATACGTGTGCACATGTATGTCATGTGTGCGTGTGTGTTTACATTTTAATATATACGTATACGTATATATATATATATTTCTCTCTCTCTTTCTGTTTATTTTTTTTTCATTTGCCTCCTCTATCCCTCTGCGAAACAATTTATTTACACATTTGCGTGAATGTACAGTTGAACAATAGGCGGCAATGGCTGGACAGAATGGCGTTCGATGACTTTTTTCAAATTTTCTTTTTTTTGGGGTGTTCTCGAGGGGGTACCTCGGCTTGGCGCCCTACACTCCCCCCTTTTCGCTCTATCTTTCTTGACAACGAGCAACGCCTGGACTGTCGTCGAGTACAGTAAAAAAAGTTTCGTTTTGTACATTAGTATATACTCGTGCCACGGCGCGAGAGGAGGAAGAGTTATACACACGACAGGCGTAAGTTTGTACTGATTCGTGATATTTTTTTTTTTTTTAGCAAACTCGAGCGCAGGTTCAGATCTTTTCAAGCAAAGATATTTGATATCGGTATTTCAGCTAGTTTGATTTTTGATGCTACAGATTTTCGGATAAACGCGAATAGACGACTCGATGCATTTACATTTGCCAGCTAGATGTTCGCAGAACACATTTGCCATCGAGTCGCGATCGATCGAATATCGTAGATTAAATTGTTTAAACGCACATTAAAAATATTACATATCGGTTCTTAAGCGCAATGCTTATGGTCAATTTTATCGATAATCATATTTGAACAAATCTCGAATCTTATAAATCACTGCGCAATTACGTAATCGTAATTATCACGATAACGAAAAATTCCATCAGTAATCCTAAGTGAACCTGCGCCGAGTTTTACTCCGATAAACATAACGAATGAATAATGAGCTTATGGCGCGTCTCTACATAGATTGGGAGACGTCGTAGGTACAATGAATAATCGAATACACTTCCATCACACACTAAAACTACGCTTACACACTGACAAAGTAGAATTTCGAATTTCACCCGCTTCGCGATCCGTTTTCTATTATCGTGTCCTATATTTGAATTTGTTTTCTGGAAATTATGATTCACTTACGTGAAGACTTTAATACTCATCATTCTCCAAGAAAGTTACTAACTAAAATTAATTAGAAAAATAATTATTATATCCGTGATTTATACACTTGTATCTTAATTTTTTCTTTGTTATGCGCTAAATATATTTACAAAAATGCCTTTTTTGTAAAAAAAAAACCGAATTTGCATAATAATAAGAGTAAACAAATACATGAATTATAATCTGGATAATCGGATTTCGTCGAATGGCGATATTTCGAAACTCTACTTTCGTCCAGCCGCTTGCCTGAACAATAAGACACTTAACAGTTTAGCGCCCTCCGTAGCGGGAGGAGACCGATTTTAATCCTCAACTACTATAAATATATGTATTTGAATGAAATAACAACTACAGTAAGATCAATTTTGGACAATGACAGAGTACAATCATTTTTTATTATTATTGATGTGCCTGTCTAATTCTATTATTATGTTCGACAAAGAAAAAATCATTACATCTTTCTAGTAATAGTAATTTTTAGTAGAAAGTAAAAAACAGAAAGAGAGAGATAGAGAGAAACTCATAATATTATATATTACTATAACTAATGGTACATAAAATGAACTTTCACGCAGTTATTTGGAAAGTAGTCAAATTATTTCATTTCAAGCCCAAGAGTTTGAAAAACATATAGATTGTGAAGCACAAACAATAGTCAGATATCAATCAGACACTATTTCTGGCGCAAAATTGAAAACTGAGAAATCTGCATTGGGAACAGATTTGAACTCACCGTAGTGGTTGAGGATTAACGGTCTTATACCTTTACGCGCATTATACAAGTACCATAATATTACTTGTTACTTATATAATAACATAATATACAGCGGGAAATCGGCGCTGGAAAATATTACGCATCGCGGACGACCAACCGAGATCGTGTAAAAATATTTCCTCCTTTGGAACATCGAAGAAGAAATCGACTCCTGAAAAATATCTTTGGAAAAGGAGATCGCGGAATACGTGTTCTGCGTGTGAAATCGCGCGATTTCTATCTCATTTATTCTCTTTTCGCCTCTCTCGCTTTTTGATATAATCGTTACCGGAGCGCTGCCGGAACCAGGCTAGTCGAGGTCTCGTTTGATATTCGCAAAGATTTCGTCGAAATCACGAAGTGACTCCAATGAAAATCCTCTTCCTTTCGGAAAATCCATTCTCCCATCGGAGAGAGATTGTCGATATGTCTCTTCTCTTTGTAGAAGAATCACGCAACTAAAATTTCTGATCAGTTAAAGTGATCTAGTTGCAGGTCATTGCCGTGAAAAAACTTCGATTATTCGCATGTAATATCAACTAACGTTACATGCGAATAATCGAAGTCTTTTCACGGCAATAATATCAACTAACGCGAAAAGGATGCCGCAACGTTACAAGAGAATAATTTTCTCATCATCAGAAAAATTCATGGGTCCTTTATCGTCACGCGTTTTTCAGGTACACTTCGTCCTTGCGGCACCTTTCGCGTGTTGGTTAACTTTCATAGTCCACAATCGAAACTTTCTTGATCCTGTAGATGCATCCTCTGATACGCCTCCAAACAGCTGTCGACGTTTCTGTATATGCCTGAATTCGCTTGGTACATCAGAGTGTCAAGAATCCTCTCGTTCTTTATAACTTTCGATGGTAATACAATCTGAAAAGAACGAAAAACAATTCTTTTTGTATTTAGAATAACGAAGGAAATAATTTATAAATCTATTTTATAGTAGGAGTTAATCGCGCCATATGATTTTTAATCATTTACGTAAGTTATATTTAATTGCTACTTTTTATTTTTTAATATCATCCACATTTTTCTTTTAATATCTACCCTGATTAGTTCTTGAGGCGTTATCTTATGTAACTTGAGGTCCCTGCTGAGCCTGTCCATGATGCACTTGAACTCCACCTTGGCATCGATCTTGGTCGACTTAGTTTTGATTCTGTGCTTCGCCCAGTTCAGCATCGCCTCGAACTTCTTGACCTCCGCTAGTTCGAGGCTACGGCACATGATCATCTGCACCATCGATTCGCTCAGAGTGACGAAGTCCGGATGGTTAAACAGCAACTCGGCCCGCGTCTCGATGAACGCGAGGATCATGTTGACCAATTCCGAGGCGGACGTGTAACGCCAGTAATAATTCTCAAGGGCGCACAACATCACGCAGACAATCTCGACCCTGAGGAATTGCTTGGCGTGGTGGAAGCAAGCCTGAAGAAGTTCCGGCAGGTCGTAGTGCTCCGCGGCACATATCAGACCAGGTATGTTCCTGCATGTCAATGGACAGGACCCGGTGTGCAGGTAGTCCAGCAGAATTCGGAAAGTCTCTGGATCGAACTCGATGATTTCAAACTGAAAATATTGATGTTTATTAATAGAGGATCAAAACTACAATCACATGGCCAATTGTGGCTTCGAGATTTTTTTTAATTGGTCTATAATATTTCTTAGAATATTAATTTAGTGATTTTTATATTAACCAATAATCACTGGTTATATAGCTGGAATAAACATATTAAACATTAAACTTATTTTAGAGCAAAATAATAGAAAATAAAAACATTTCATCTTACAGGAAATATATTGCAAAATATTATTAGCTGTTTAACATAACTTTAACATAATTTTGATACAAGTGATAAATCGATTATGTATTTCTCAGCGAATTTTAATTTCGTACGATAACGTGAACTTTCTAAAAATCCTCTACAATCATTTTCCTCAGTACCGAGATACGCATTAATCGTTAACGTCTCACTCACCTCGGTCTGTGCAAGTTTAGTTCTATCTACTTTCTGCGCGTCCGCGCAAACGCTGAGTCGCGGTAGTGCCAATGATTGGGGTGCTTTATCCTTATCCTTTGCTTCCTTATCTGTAAAAAAGATAATATTTAAATTCTATCCTTTCACTCAGTCGCAAAAGAACGCAACATTATGGTACGAATACATCTTCATATGTCGTTATTAAACATCATTACTATTTTATTATTACTATTTTATTATCCCTTTATACGACATATTTATCTATGAGTTTAAAAAATTATGCATTTTAGTAAAATTAATTTAGTAAGAGTAAAACTAATAAGTATCTGATACGAGATAAATTGGTCCTTTTCTTCGTAAGAATTGAGACACGTACTAGTGCAATCCTGCGAGCTGGCCCATCGCTTTCGATCCTCGCTCTGCAGAGTGCTGCCATGTTTTCTGATACTCCTTCCCCAGCCTGCCGTGATCGTACCCAGTCGAGAGAAGGCCCGTTTCACCATCGGCGACGAAGGGACACTTTTGGGCCTAAACACATCAGAACCAGTATCTCACAGAAACCGCGGAGCGGCACCTCGAGGTATGGAGATGGGATTTACGGGCATTTCACGCAGAAACAAGGACGACTCCGGGTCCAAGGGAGGGGAGGGAGGACTGAGTACAATTGGAAGGGACGAATATCGAATATAAAGTCAAGTCGAAAGAAACAAAAACGAGACAACGACGAAAGCTCGATCACTCTCGAAATTTGTACTAGACAACGTGCGAAGGATCGAAACAATTTGTGCGCATAATTCATCGAATCCAAAGCAGCGATATAAGAACTTATTTTCAATTTAATTAATACAGTTGGCAATTATTACATGAAATTTAGAATATAAAAAGAACAACGGGGAATTGCACTAATATAAAATTATTGGCAATAATGCCACAATAAAGGTAGACGAAAGAAAGCATACGTGATATCAACATTATTGACGGAAACGAGTGAGAAAAGAATATATATATTATAACAAATTATAATATACAGATTCTTGTTTTTCTAAGATACAGATTATGAGAGAAAAAGAACGTCTCAGAAAAATATTGACGAGCAAATGACAGATTTCATTCGTAGAATTTTGAACAAGAATTGTCGTTTTTTTTTTCTTCAGTAATCCAAGCGAGGCGAATTCGCCACGTGAATCGTATCATTCGACAGAATATTGCAAGTGCCTCTCAGAGAAGAGCATGCTTACATAAAGTATATTGATGATACGTGATTTGATTAAGTTTGCAATTTTCATGTTACACGGTAATAAATAAAAAAAAGTTACGAGATAATCATGCGGTGCCATGAGGATGGGAGACATGGATGTGCCGTGAAAAGATACATATATTACGATCAAGTAACTATATAGAAGAAACATTCGGCATTGAAAATCGCAGGCATTAGTCTTACCGTTCAAGATTTTTCAATTTATTCTCATTAGAGAAATCCAATTTCTATCTCACGTAAAGTATCGCATAATCTACATTCTTGCTCGAGCTTTGATTGAGACGAGGCCGTAACCGACGTTCTAAGCGAACGCTCACCAAATCGTCAATCAATTTTGCAACCAATATTTTGCGGATTTGTTTAACATTGTTCTCAATTCGTTTAATGATTTTAATTTTTAAAGCTTACCAGTTTTCATAATGACGCATTCCAACGCTTTAACGAAGCGAATTTCGATATCAACGATTCCGAACTGGATTCATGATAAACTAACAGATAAATAACGGGCTAACGACAACATTCATGATTATATTATTGAAACGCACCTAGGACTCTCCATGTCGGGAACTTGTAGGTAATTCGAGCTCTTCGGCTTCTGCGGGCTAAGCAATGTCGGCGCCGGTCTTGCGAGCAACTCAGCAACCGGTACTTGCGGGCTTCCGAAGCCCGCTTGAATTCCATATAACATTTCTTGAAACACTCTGTATAAAGACAAATGCATATCGATCAATTTTCACAATAATGTTGAACGTTAGAACATAAACGAGTGTTTTACGCTCAATTATTTTTTCATGCTTCCACTTAACAGATATGTCTTTTACATTGTTAATCAACCGGTCTAATTAGCGGAATTTACTTATTCATTTATTCTCTTGATTATTTCACGCGCATCTGTGAAAAACGTTGAGCTAATTAGAAAATACTTATTTTATTTAAAATTAATGAACCAGAAGAGAGGAACCGTTGTTTCTGGCCAATAAATTATCGAAAAACATTTTTCTAAATTAGACAGATATAATCAAAGACAATAATTTAAGTTTGTTAGACATTAATTTACATCTTCGCAAAAATTATTATATCCTAAACTTTATTTTGTTTGCGAAACAAGCAAATGTCATGCTCATATTTGTTACCTGCTTCTTACTGCTAGAATTGCCCTAACGCCGACGAATCGGACTTTTTGTTTTTGCAGTCCCGGCACGAGGAAAGACACGTCGAAAAGACTAGTGTTCACCGTTATGTTCGCTGAATTATTGAGGAAGACCTTAGTAAAGTCCTTTGCAAGGTGATCATAGTCTTCGAACTGATCTCGCACAGAGTCCAACAATGGTGAAGACGGTCTCATGTGTCCAATCGGTCGCCAAGAACCTCGTCTGAGAATCAATAATCATAAAGTTAATCCTACTGATCGAGCAATATTAATCGAATATTTTAAAATCGACTACGCAATTAACGAATTACACGCAGAGTTAATTAAATAAGTTATTTATTAAATACATTTTAATGTAAAAAATATTTTGTATACGTTTAAAATATACAAGCAATACCAAGTCAAATAACAAAAACTTTAATGGAATTAATGCATTAATGCATATTAATTTAATGCAAAGTATTTTCAGATTGCTTTTTTACACATACAATACCCGGTTTTACGTATACAGTATCATTTTAGTCGAAATTTTGAAATATTATTTTGTTATGATTGCGTCTCACCTGTATGGTTTCGGAATCTGGCCCGTTTCCGCGTGATTAGCGAGATTCGCCACGATATCCTCCAACATTTGACTTCTCGTCCGTTCCTGCATTCTCGCGAATTTCGGCGCGGAGTAACTCGCCCTTTCGCCATTCACGATTTTCGTTAATATCCATTCTCGGAACATCGGACCTGTTGCGCCCGAAAATCCAATTCAATAGATAAGTTCAACGTAAGGGAGATTTTAAATTGATATAATCTTGAGATAGCCAGCCAATTTAATGTTATCATTTACATTGCCATTATTATTTTTCTAATTAAAAGCTCGATAATTGTAGCGTAACGTCAAAGTGGAAATTAACAAAATAATATCAAATTTATTGAACTTTGTCGCAAACCATATATAGATTATAATGAAGATTATTATGCAAATTATGTAATTATATTGTCATTTAATGCATCCATAATGCCAATGATTAAATGTTAAATAAAATATTTGCTGTGGTAGAGAGAAAGAAAAATGTATAACTCTCTCTGTTTGATGTGATAATTTTTTATAAAAACAGTTTTAAATCGAATAAAATTAATTTCCCTCAGTCACGCTAAATTTTTTTATATGAAAATGTAATGATACCTTTTTCGAAGACACTTTGCTCCCATAGATACGGTTTGTAGGCCCCAACTTCATCCCTTGTAACTACGGACACCTCGTATCTCGTGATTTTCCGCTTTATCCGTGGACTCACTCGCACCAAGATAAATGTGTGCAAAAAGTGCGACTTGATGCAAGCTGGACTGAAGGTCGTGTTGTCGGCTTCCAAAAATACGATGCACACTATATCGTTGCCAATGTGCCTTTTTCTCTGAAGCTGCGCGAGCGAAGAGAGAGAAGAAAGAATTTTTCAATTAAATCCTCTTGGCGCGTTTTATCATTTAAAATTTTTCTATCGCGTTAAACGAAATAGTTCGATAAAACTAAAATTGAGATAACAGTGCAAATAGATAGCTCACTTTTTGTGGATCGTGTTTCTCGTAAGGCAATAAGGTAGACACGTGGAACATTATCTCGATTCCCCTCCAATTGGTGTAGACAGAATATAGGCCCGTCAAATCGTGTACGGTGTCGAGACCACCTTTGTACTTGTCAAATCCCTTCAGCCTGATCTTGTCTCCGAGAATCTGCAGGAACTCCTCGAAGAGCAGCGAGTTGTCGTTGTTATCGAGTATCTCCTCCTCGGTGTACTGGTCTTCCTGGACATAAATCAACCCCACCTTCAGCTCAGACTTGATAAAAACTTGATCGAGCTTCAGAAGTTCTTCGGGCGTATCTGGCAATTGGCCCAGGATTAACGGCGGATTGATGTTCACCTCCTTGCCGAGACTACGTACCACTTCTTCTCGATTATACCTGCAAAAAATATATGTCTCACGTATCCTCGAAGAGATATTGATTGTAACATTCATTCAACTGACAATTTTAACTTGTTGAATGTATTTGACTGCCAGAATAAATTTCCAATACAATTCTAGTACATACATGATTAACAACGTGTTTTACCACAACTTTCATTATTCTAGGAACATCTAAAATATTTATATTTGGTGTAATAATTTATTTAGTCTTATTAACGTGTGTAAATTAATTATTTTAACAAAAAATATTCCTAAATACGAAATACTACATATACGCTAGAATAAAACATAATTTGGGGAATTACCGGTCGGCAAAGACGCAGCTGGCGGGGATAAGGCCGTGGACCGTGTAACTGATGGCTCTGACCAAAATCCTGAACTGGTCACGATTGTTGAGCGTCTCTTGTTTGATGCTGAGTATCACCGGTCCCAAATCCTCGTCGTTTGTAAAATAATTCCAATGCTCCGAGCCGTAGAAATATTTCTCGTAGGTCTCCTGTTCGACGGAGGTGAGCTCGAAACCCTGATTCTTTTCCCATTGCTCCTCGATGATGGTCTTCTTTCGAGGTGGATCGTCCGTGTCGCCTGTCTCATTCTCCGCTTCGAATAGGCAGGAGACACTCTTCTCCTGCCGCTTCAGCATCGACGGACGCTCCTCCACGCTCCGTCCATCTATCTGTTCGGGATCGGTACCCTCGTGTTCGCTCTCACTCTCGTCCCAGATCGTGTCTGACGTGATCTGTTGCCGCGAGCATTCGATCCAGTAGCCGGGTGTCGCTATCAGGTTGTGCGGGAACTCTTGGCAGAACTCGTCTACGGGGAAATTTATTTTCAACTTATGTCTATTTCTAATTCCACTCATTATAGACTTTATTTTCTAGAATGAGCAGTGACGAGCAAATTAAATCTCTAGAAAAAATACAATTAGAGTAAATCGTTAGAACGAGTACAGGATTTCTATGTGATAAGCCGTACTTGCCGGAATTCTGTGAGCTATTTCGATTCTGCCTTCGAACAGTAGAAGTTTTGTAGATCAAGCGAGAAATCATTAAAGAACATAATCACTGTGTAATATCATAGCGCAAAAGTTATTACATAGTCGTGGCACATCGTTGTACGTAAATGCAATAATCCTCAACGTTTTCATCATGAAGCGGACGTCGATTGGGCAATTTCGCTCAAAGCGAGATTAACGTTAATTAAACCCGTTCGACTAGCGCTCTTCTCAGCGAAGCAAATTGGTGGGAAATGGCGCCGATGGTGTCTTTGTTCTCCGCGGATACGAAAAGAATTGGTCGGATCATCCTCGAGGCGAGACGAGGGTTTGTTCAGAAATTAGTGAAACGAAGAGAACGAGATGAGAGTAAGAGGTAAAGAAAGAAAGAGAGATGGACATCGAGAGGAGAAGATGGAGTAAATAATATCCAAAGACAAGCACTCTGCCTGAAAATAATTAGAAAGGAATCTGATCCAGCGAAATAGCGCCTCGAGAACAAATCGACCGTGAGGTAGTTATTATTTTTCAGACAGAGCGCTTATATCTTTGGATATTATTTGCTCTGTCCCCACCTCTCGATGTCCATCTCTCTCTCTCTTATTATTGTAGAACCCAGATGCGGAGATTTTCCTTCGCACAGCGCCGGACTCACATCCACTCAAGTACGTATCTCCGGTAATATGTTTCTTCTTGTCCGCCCCCGCGCGCTCTGTCGCCTCGTTTTATCAATCTTCGTCTTCCTCTCTGTCCGCTGCTCCTTCTCCCGGCTGTCGACGATACCGCAGTCGATTCACTGTAAGGTAGAACACCAAGCTGTTTGCAAACAGGGCTTGGTATTCGAACTTAGAGTGAGCCGCCCGCGGTGCCCTCCTCTTCTATATGGCTCTATGGCTCCTGCTATGCTTCTATATGGCTCTATGGTTGCTGCGAATCGACCTAATTGCCGAGCGCTTTGTTCGCACATAATGGCCATCCATATCTCACTGGCAACCCGAATTTCGACACGCCGCCGGTGGCTATGGTTTCCTCGACCTCCTTGAGGAAACCGTGAGATTTCTTCAGTTCCCGAAAGGGATTGTACGTCAAAGGAATAGATAAGATTTCTTAACGGATCAACATTTTAATACCGACTGATATGTGTATGACACGGGGTAAATAAATATTGGTATTTTTATCGATCGGAATCCGACGTCTAATAATAATTTTTATAAATTTTACTTTGCCTTCGTGCCTTTGAAAACTGAATAACGGCACGTTCAAAAGCATAAAGACAAAGACAAAGTGTATAAAATTCACCAAAATTATTATCAGACATAAGAATCTCACCCGATGACCGAACATATCAATATTTATTTATTGTAGGATAAATTGTTATAACGACGATAGAAATTTATGCGAACATTATTTCAATGATCGCAAATTAATACTTGAAGATTACATCAACGCTCGCAATTTAATTTGCTCTTAAATTATCTGATGCACGCGATGACCCAATGCATCGAATACAAACTGGAGAAACGCGACGGCCATTATTTGTTTTTTCACGATCGTAACTCTACCACATTTTTAGACTGTGAGACTTACACTCGACTATTCGAATCCGGCATGACAAAGTAACTTCGTACATATAATCGTGCGTAATCTCAAGACAGGCAGAACCACCTGTAGCTTCATCTCATACATATGCAGTCTTCCAAAAGTCGGTGGCACCGGGCTCGTTTGCGAAAACACGGTGTGACGATGAGAGAGGGGGAGAGAGAGAGAGAGAGAGAGAGAGAGAGAGAGAGAGAGAGAGAGAGAGAGAGAGAGAGAGAGAGAGAGAGAGAGAGAGAGAGAGAGAGAACGACGGCCACCGGCAACGGTGACAGTACTTACCGGAGCACGCCTGAGGTGGCAGCGGGAAGATCAGGGTAGTCGAGGACTTTCTTCTCGCAACTGCACAGCCTAAACTTTGTGGTTTGAAGCTGCGCAACTGCTGCATGAAGTCCGAGCACTCCATCAGCGCCACGTCGGCAAAGTGCAGATCGCAAAGTATCTGGTTCTTGAATCTGAAATGCAGAACAATCCTTAGAGTCATTCGTTGAAAACGAGCGGTGCTTTCACGCGGCTGCTTCTCACCCAAGAATTGTAGAAAGGCATCTCTAAAGCCGCGTTTACAGCATCAAAGTGAACATCAGCTAATGGCAATGAATGACAATAGACGTGTTTTCTTGAAATTAATCGTAAAAATATGAACAAACGGATCTTATAGCGAGCGAATATAATAATAATTGCGGTATTTTCATTCGGTGGTGCGATAATATCTTCTTTTATCGTGTAACCTTAGTTGATTGAATTTGATCTTGTCAATCGTGGAAACCACAAACGATCGAATCAATATTCGCAGTAAAAGCTGAACGTACTTATATAAAGAAAGAAATAATTGAGTGGACGGATCTGATTATGTTAGACGACAAAAAAATCTCTTCGATTGATGCATTTCATTTCATTTCAACGTGATAAAGCTCGCAAACTCAAACGAGTCTTATCACGGATGAAAACAATCAAGAGGAACGAAGTTTCGTGAGAGTTGAGATTGCTCGATAAAACGTGAATCCGTTGTGGCGTCCCGACGGCGGCTGTTATATTGGAACACGTCGCTCCCTTATCTCCTTTATCGTTCACTTTTATCGCATGGGTTTACGCGATACCAATTAAAATCATGGACCACGCCGAGATTCGCTATAATAGAAATCGTGATGATCCCTAAAAGAACACGTTTGATCTCCTTTGCAATTTATTTATTTTCCGCGATATATCATTAAATTTCGAAGAATATTGCTATTTATTATCAAATATATAATTATTTGTTTCAAAATTATAATATTTATAAATTTAAATTAATATTATAGTAATAAATATTTCTTCCTTTACACTTTGCATAAAATTTACGAACAGGCCAAAATATCGATTTACTTCTGAGAAATTCCAATTTATATATCATATAGTATATCACTTGCAACTAAGTTTCTCAATGTACTCTTATACTCGTTAACAGTCTCGTTAATACTCGTCGATATTTTGCGAGTTGTATTCGATAATGACGACTGCCACGGACACAAATCATAGAAAATATTATTTCCTAGGCTTCACATGACGTTTCTATTTATATTTCCCGTGCGGTGTCAGGCGGCGGCCTCGTAATAGTGACGCATTAGCGACTTGCGTAAAGGTTGTAGAACGACCGGTAATCGCATAACGTTACATTAAAATGTCCGTTCCAATTCCGGCCTGCATCTGACAGGATTCCGCACGTTATTTCCACGGCCTGCCTGCCGATCCGCGCGACGGAATAATAAAAATATTTTTCGATAATCCCTCGCGCTCTCGGCGGAGAAAGCTTGTCGAGGGATGACATTATGACGCACTGTGACGCGGGGTTTTCAACGCGCGGCAGCCCGGCGATAACGCCCGTCGTAACGTTCGTTGAATTCGCAAATGGGCTTCTGAATCGGCCGGCCCGATATGGAAAAATATCGTTCGTCCTTTTACCCGCGGGAAGGCCACGTTAAAATCGCCGATTCAACTCCACGTCGCACGTGACTCGCGATGGGATGGGTTCCCGATAGACTGAGCCTCGCCGATGATTCCCCCGTATGTGACGTAAACGTTCTCGAATGGGAAACGCGATATCGATAGCCGGGCATTCATTTCGAGACACCGAATCTCATCGGCCATGTAAATTCGATCGGATGCACGAGCGTGCGAAAGTGCGATATTCTCGCGCGGAGGCGGCATTTGCGACCGGCCGGAACAGAGCGCTCGCGTGACTTCCTAACAAAACCGGGATGATTTTCTTTCCGTGAGGAGCGTGTCGCAATTTCGTGGAATTTCAGCCGCGTCCAATCAGATTAATCGGGAATCGAATTTGCCGGCGGCCGAACGCTTGATTTCACGCTTTGTCTTTCGATTGTCCCCGTGTCCCGTCATGTTTATCGGACGCGGGATTTCTACGTGCGTCGAGAAAGTGGTAAAAGTCGAACGGCGACGTGATGTATTGGCGGCGAAAAAAGCGCCTTCCTCTGTCGCGATCTATTGACGTCTTTCTCACCCTGGCGAACAAAGTGTTAAATCGCGAATGGAATCTCTGTTTGTATGGCGATGCGTTACACAAAAGCGCAGCTACGCGACTGACTCCCCGACTGACTGAGTTTCTCGCGCTATACATCAAAGGACACGCACGTGTTACTCGTTCTCGTACCTTATTTCATCTGCGGATTACTGCGCAGATTGGTGATACAGAATTATGCAACACATATTCAAAAGATGAAAGAAATTATTATTGTATTGTACGTGAGATGATGAATAAATCGTTATATAACAATAAAATTAAGTCATACTTCTTACTCCAAAAAATAGATCAAGTTACATTTATTTATCGATTATATTATTTTAGGCGTCCGTGAAATACGACATCCATCTCATCATGTCTTGAGTATTCGCTACTCAATCTCCCCAAGACTGAAATATCTTGAGAATTCAGCATCATGGGACCGTCCATGCCAGGGATCTCGTTTCATAAGCGTCGGCTTGGTTTTTAAAATATGAAAAAGGAGTCGAGAGTAATAGCATCGAGAGCAAATAGCATGAATATAATCCTGTTGAATGCCGTATAGTTATTTACGTTCCCCTTCCGGCAAACTGTGTTAAATTGTAAATAAAAATTATTCTCGCGCGCAACATTTCGCGTTGCCAATATTGTAGTTATCAACAATAAAACTTGACGCGCTTCACTGTATGATTTACCGTTATCCAAAATAATAGCGCTCTCAGATACAAAATGTAAAGCGTATTCACTCGTCGGACGCGGCTCCATTTTGCACGCGGCTGAATGCAGATTGCGTGAAATCAGGTCGGGGGGTAATAAAAAATAATAAATCGACGAGCGAAATAATAAATGATAACCCGGATGATGAAATCGCAATTTGTGACTAAGCATTTTTCTGGCAATTTCCGGGGGCATGCATTACCTTTCTGCACACCGCGAAACGATATAAAATCATGGAATTTCATGCACATACTATAAGCAATGCAAAATCGAAACCTTTCAATAACCGGAGTGTCCAAGAAAAAGTGTATCTGAAGATTTTTACGAGATTAGCATTTCTTCCAAGGTATTCTTGTAAACGATTGGGTTAACAGGCGAAATCATTACAATCACGTGAGCAGTTTCGAATGGGAGTGCAATAAAACGAGTATGATAATAAAAGGATAAGAGGCGTGCTCCCACGCTAATGAGCCGCGGCTTAGGTACGACAATACTGATTAAGGATAATATCGTTTTACGAGTTTGCCGGAAGCGTAAACCGCACCGAGAAACGCGATTCTATCTTACTCACCGTCTCGCCCGCTTTTGATTGGGTCCCGTGAGATTCAGGCCGCAGCTGTTACATTTTAGGCACTCCTCGTGGTAGTGGTTGTTGTCGTACAACGGCGACGGTTCTTGAAACAATAAGCCAAGAGATAGAGTTCAGTCTTGAAAAGAGATGTCGCGTATTATGTGGGAAATGCTTGCAGCGAATAGATGTCAAAACAAGAAAAAAAATCCATAAAATTTTCAGAAAAATTTTTTCATAATTGAACGCAGATTCTGCAATGCGGAAGCAATTCCAAAATCTTATATCTTTCTCGCTGGAGCCAATTTCGCGAAACAAGAAATAAAATTATGTGCCAATGTTATTTCAAATATATAATATGTGACCGAACTATCCTCCTCAAATATGTATACAATTCCACGTGTTACATAGGTTTTTAAAAAATCTCTGCTATCCACAAAACAGAATAAAAATCAATACAGAACTAAAAATTATGAAAATGGCGTTTGATTCTTTATTGCACAACTGCATCCAATTAATAAAGTATCTCTTATAATAATAATAGATACTCCGAATGTCCGCCCTGTATTCGGTAAACAATTCTGGGGGTCACATTTATGCTAGATTTCGTGAGGGAACTGATGCAAACATCCAACGTAAATAAATTATTTGTGCAGTAATTAAAGAGAATAAACGTTTCTCTTTATGTTCGCGCGGATTTTTTGCTCGTTTTCGCATCCTTCATTCAATAAGCATCTCCCACGCGCGCGTCGCGCGCGTAATACCCTCTTTCTCATTATCGCGCCATTAAAACCACCCGGCTGTTCGGGAGAACTTGCGCATCATCCCGTTCCATTTACACTATTTTTCTACCTCCGTGTTTCCCGACACCCTGCCCTCCCCCTCTCGTTCTCATGTCCTTACTTAACTACCCGTTCCGCGAGGTCGTGTCGAGCTAAGCTGGGGTGTGGTCGGCGCTCTCTCGTGACACCACACCACCATGGCACGGCACGGCACGGCACGGCACACCGGAGGCCGTAAAGAATTCCAGCGCATGCCAGGCATGGAATTTTGATATCGAGAGGAAAACGGGCGTCACGGCGCCACGCCGGTCTCGCCAGGAAGCAGGACGACGCGACGTGGCGTTCGTGACCGCCGCGATATGTACTAATTGCACGCATGCACGCATGCACATCCATCAATGGGAGGCTCTCTTCTCACACATATGCGTACTCCATTTCGTGACTACAGAATTAATGGAGTTGTTCCAAGTTAGGAATATTTAATGAACGTGATTCCCATTCTTAGTTCTGTACTTGGCAAAGCTAAGGATCTTTAAGACGACGTAATAAAAAGGAAATATATTTTGAAATATAAAGGAAACGTGATAAAAAATCTAAAAAATTCCTTTTTTCCTTTAATTCATTAACTTAAAATAAATTTTTTGCAAAACAAAAAATATTTATAATATGTAATTAGAAGATAATTTATAAATGTTAATTTATGAAACCAGATGCAGAATGATGCATTTTTCGGAGAAAAGTCACGATATGAATATTCGTGTAATGTTTGTTATATATTTGTAATATTAAAAGTTGTTCGAAAAGATTATTCGTATGCTTTACAATCGCTTAGATCAAGTCAAAGGTTACAGCAGAAAGTCAGGGAACGCTGTAGACGTGACAAGTGTAACAACACTCCTTCCCGCATACGAACCATATTATAGATTATGCCGACTTGTCTCGTTGTTTAACTTGAGTTGTTGTTAGAAAGTTAGGTATATACAATGTAATTATTATTATGTTTTAACAATGACGGCGTATATCTTGAATAGAAATGGCGAACTCGTACTCGATAATTGAAATTTGATGAGTTAAAATTGTAATGGCTTCCTCACATACACACGCACAGAAGATGTTTGTTTTAAATTAAACGAGAAATTCATATCTATTAAAAATCATATTTAATGTAATTTTAATTGGTGCAGCATTTTGCATAATTTAAATTGTAATATTAATATGTTATAATAATATTCTATACAAATAACATGTTATAGAATAGAAATAATTACTTATTCGTATCAAATTTGTAAAATATTGCTATTTCGCAAGTAAATATAATTACGGTATTGTAACGTTATTTTCATTTGCAAGTATATTTTAAGTTTACGACGATCTGACAATTTTATAGTTTATTTTTTTTGAATAATTTTTCAATTAAAATAATACAAGAAAAGGTATATGTAAACTCTAAGTGTGTACAAGTTTTATAAAATTTTGTCAGCAAAATAAGTTTACAAAATCGACTTTACCAAACGACATTATTTCGAACGTATTCCGAAGGAAACAGAATCGTATCGAATAAGTTATTAATATTTACGTGCTGTATCAAGAAAAGTTTAGGAGGCGCCGATGAATTTGAAATATAAAGTAGCTATACATCGCGACAATCTCGTTACAAGTTTTCACGGACCGCAATATATTCCGTGCAAAATATCCAGATGACGAGCGAAATTATTCGTAGCGCAACTGTATAGCACGTGATATGACATAAGATTACGCTCAATGGTATATTGCTTCACCCAACGCATTATATTCTTTCTACCCTCGATTTACGCCATCCAATATACTTTACATGCGAGCTTCACGTACTTTAGGCTTCTCCCTTTCTCTACTCTAATGTATTTTAGGAATCAAAATCAATTCCGTGGTTCGCAAAAATCTTTTTTTTATTGTAAATAAAATTTAACGCGACGCTATCATTCATCGCGTATCGCGTATTAAACGTAAAGCATAAAATTTTTAACACCTTTTTTGGCGTCCTAATATCACTGAAAAGTACTTCGTATCACGCATGATTTTTGGCGGAAGCAAAAATTGAAAATTTGGTGGGATAAAACGGATACAGAATAAATTCGCAGGAAAAAAAACATGAAGCAAAAACGCTTGCATTGTAACGCGAATCGACGAAATGAAATTGCATAAGGCCGCAAACGAAACTGCGGGAACTGTCGATTAACCCGCAGTTTATATGTGCAGATGATATATGTATATGTCAACACACCCCCGTCGCGGTAACGTGATGTGCACATATTTCTTCAGGTTTCGTTTTTTTTATATCTCGAAACACGGCGCGATGCAAATCTCGTCTGAAATATGCAGGAGCCAGGTCAAATTCTAACGAGCGTCAACCACCGAGATAAAACATGCGCTTTACCTCGATCTCAAGCAAAGATTCGGAAAAAAGTAGGAGGTGACGAAGGAGTCTCCTATACTATTCCACACGTGCCGCGACGGCCTTATTTTTAACTCTTCACCTACGACGATTATGCTACATCCAAAGATAAAACCGTGTTCTTATTTGTACATTCATTACGCGACAAAATAGAGTATCAGGAAAATGTCAAGTAATATGGGACGTGTAATCAACATTTTA